ATTCTGCAAGCCTTCACGTTCGCTTGACGACCAGCAAGCTCGGCTTGCACACACTCTTCTCGTAAGAGAGCTCAGCTCTCTTCGGGGCTGAGCCGCGTTGTCCTCTACCTCTTCGAGGCACAACAGAACTCAGTTCTTCCCCAGTAGGCCGCCCCGCGCCTACTGGGAGTTGCCGTTTCCCGGCGATGACCCGGAGGGTTGGCTCGCCGGAGCCTCGCGCTTCTTGCGCAGAGGGCAATAGGCCCTCAAGTGCTTAGTGCTATTGCACACAAAGCATCGGCGGATGCCGGCGCGCTGCTCCGCAGCAAGAAGCTCCGCTTCTTCATCTTCAGCATAGCTGAGGTCCATCGGCTCTGGACCGCTCGAAGAGCTTGCGCTACCAGCGCTCCAACCAGGTCGCGCCGACCTGAAGTTGTGCTCGGCATTCAATGCCACATCCACCGCCTCTTCAAAAGAGTTAGGGTGTACACGGAACACTTCCGTTCGAGCTGCGCTCACACGAAGTCCCTCCATGAACACGGTCACGCTGACCAGTTCCGGAAGAGGGTCCGCCGCCATTCCGGCGATAAGAGTTCTCAACTCTTGGACATAGTCCAATAAATCCTTCTTACCCTGGCGGGTAGCAAGGAACTTTGACCGGATACGGTACGCCTGATTAGGCGGCGCGAACACGCGCGAAAGCTGTTGCTTCAGCTGATCCCAAGTGGGAAATGCAGCGTCAACAGACGTGCCGCACGTTAGTGCCCATTCGCGAGCGCGACCTCCAAGCCTGGAGACAGCCAGCGCCACGCGCTGATGCTCAGACTGGAGCAGGGCCGATCCCATGGCCATCTCGACCTCACGGGTCCAGAGAAGGAGATTCTCTCCATCCTTCCCCTCGAAGGTTTTTACGCTCACCATGAGCGGTTTCAGTCTCATAGACTCTTCACGCGTCATCGACGCCGCCGCCGTTGCGGCGCTCATCTTCTCTTGGACATGCTCCAAGAGCGCGTTCTCGTAGCGGGAGAACGATTCCAGCCTGGCAGTGACCGCCTCTGGACCTTGCGATGCAAGATGAGCCACGCCCTCCGGGCCAAGCAAGGACATAAGCTTATTAAGCGCGTCCTGCTGCGCCGGGGGCAAATTCGCGAACACGGGGTGTTCCATCCTCGCAGAGGATATAGTCAACCGACTCAGGAGCGGGATTGACTACAAGTGCTACCAAGTGCAGCGGGGCTGCCGTAGCTTTAGCGTCAGAGGAAGACGTTCGACTCAAAGAGTCACTAATACTAAGTTCCTTATCCAAAGGACACTTACAGCCCAAGACCAGAGCTCAAAGTTAACACCTTAACTTTTATGCTTCAAAACCAGAAGTCCTTTATTTACTATTATTGCGGCCAAGCCGCCTAGGGGTAAATGTATCTCTTTAACTATCTAGCATAGTTAAACCTAATCAAATGCATAACGTGTGGCTTTCAGCCAACGTACTGAGAGACCTTGTTAACTCTCCAACTTATGTACTGAGAGTTTGTTAACTCGCCGGGTACTTCGTACCCCTGTGTGTTCCACACCATGTAACCCCGTTACACGGAGGCTCAGGTGGGGGCTCCGACCGGCGTTCGGACTCGAGCTCCGAGGTGGTTTCAGCTACACGTACCGCCTCCATTTTACCAAGTGACTGGTGCAGAATAACCACTGCAGTTCAGCTGTACAATGTGGCGTTTTAACTGTTTTGATTGGCTTATTTGGTAGATTTGCAAGTGGCAGCTATGACCTGCGCCCGTTTTACGTTGAATTTTAATGGCAATTGCATTCTGTCCGTCGGTGGAGTGAGTACTTTTGCGTATTCCACCGAGCTCAGTCGTTTCATCTACACTCCTGGACACAATTATACGGCCACCTCGTCGAGTGCCCATAACTCAGTCAATTTTTATTATTTGACGGCGCAGTTTTCACACAAGTTGCAAAACATGCTTCAAAATAGCAAGGATGTGCTAACGCTCGCGGTTTTGCACTTTATAGGGAGGCTCACATACAAAAAAGAGATTTGTCCGGCTGGACACAATTTACGCCACCATCGTCACAATCCTAAAACCAATATAAAATAAAACATGTGTCATTTTGGCTGACTAGAAATTTGTATGGGCTGAGTTTCTGAGGGCGATTAAATGGGAGCTCAATTTAGTTGCATGGGGGTGTACACATTAGTATTAGTTGCATGGGGGTATGTGAGCCTCCCTATAAAGTGCAAAACCGCGAGCGTTAGCACATCCTTGCTATTTTGAAGCATGTTTTGCAACTTGTGTGAAAACCGCGCCGTCAAATAATAAAAATTGACTGAGTTATGGGCACTCGACGAGGTGGCCGTATAATTGTGTCCAGGAGTGTACGACTACCTTCTCTTCTGGCGTGTTTAGCAGCTATTCGAAGTACATAAGGTATTTCGTGTGCAAGCATCATGGCAAGCTCATTGGTGACGGTATCCCCCTCTTCAGGACTTAAATATTCTAAAACTATGAAAGTCCCGAAAAATCCGTGTGTTTGCAGCCGTTCACAAAGACAGGTGCGGGTACGTGTAGAATGCTAGAATTTCACGCCCCATAAAGGGCCTCACGTCGTGGCATAGTCCATTGAAGGCTTCAAAATAAAAAAACGCGATAGTACAGCTCGGATGGTGATCCCTCCGGGCAGTGATAATTAGTGGTATCTCTACGAAGAGGATTATCTGCTTTGAATATTTGCTTCAAAGCACAGCTCTTAAGCGCACGCGAACCGCGGCTGAATGGGAGGATGGACGGCTGTTAAAGCAGTGTTTAGCATCTTCCCGCGAGTGTTCGATGAACATGCACGGGAAGCTCTAATTTGTTCGGCTCATTGTCGGTTCTCAGGAGATGGATCATTCGCATTCTGTGAAAAGAATTCAACCAAAATATGTTTGGTCCCTCGTTAAATCGATAGGCCTCAAAGCTAAAAAAGGAGGGCCGATTCTGTCTCTCCAACTAATCCACACGTTGTCAAGTACAATTTGGGTAACTCTAACATAGGAGACCTCCTTAACTAAAGGGTACTACAGAAGTATAACACATTTTCTTAGATATTACTCTAAAGAGGATTGTCCGTAAAAATAAGTTACGATACGATGATTTACGGTACATGCAAAATGAACTGAATTGCACATTTGAAAGTGCAATTCTGGCGCAGATGTTTAGCATTTCGCTCAACTGCGTCCGTAACTGAAGAATCATAAAGGGGTGAATTTACTGACGCAACCATGAGGCACTGCTAGCTGGTATAGCCTCATGGCCACGTCGATTTTTTATATCCAAGGGGATTAAAAACACACATGCCATTTTAAACGTCTTAAAATCTAAAAATGAATACAAAACACTATCAATTTGCTGTTATTAATAGTGGTTCCTGAAATCATTTTTTTAGTGGATCAAATAGGAGAGATTAAAACACCAAACATACATATTTTGCGACGCACAAGCTGAGCCACTTGATTTCCAGATTAGGACCCGTGCAGTCTGCAAAATAATGATTCTTTCTGAAGCAGGTAAAGAATGATATTGTATTTGATCGACTTTGAATGTCTGTTTTTCTTGTTGATGATCTAAAAAATGATTTGATTTAAAACCCTAAAGGTTTTGCCAAATCTCATGTACACAATGATTTGTCTCCAGCTAGTATAATAAGTTGCTGCTATTATCCAGATATGCAGTTTCTCCGTACTTTAGGGCGAGCAAAAATCGCCGCGTTAATGCAACATAACATGGACGGATACGCGTTTGAAATAAAAAGGTGATTTCAGGAACCACCCAGTACTGTACTCGTAGAACTTCGAAGTAATACAAATAAAGAACGGAAGGGCTAGCGAGCACTTTCATTTCTTAGGAGCGTGGCTGGGACCCCGTTCCTCTGCATGATACGACACCAACCCTTTGTAAAAAACGTTTTGCTAATACTCTAGCACGGTCCTTTCCTGGTGTTGTTGTTGTTAAATTCTTAGGCTGCGGCATTGTTCTTTCTGCAGGAACCGATTCGTCTGTGTGCTGTATGGACGGTGTCTTGAACAAGTTTCTTAAACGACCTACTGTAGGATGTGCAACAAGTGTACTTTTTGTACAGTACTGAAGTAAATTCCTTGTGATGCAAACGACGACCCGATTTTCGATTCTCAAACGGGTCATAACGTTTGGAGCCGATAAGAATTCGTTTGCGCTGGTCAATTGTCGTGCTTCGCACGAAGTTCCACTTATGTTAATACATCTCGGTGTTGTATTGGCGTCTCTGAAGCTAACTCGGACATGCCAAAAAAATCTACGACGATCCTTTCCATTTTTCGAGCCGACCGACATTCTCCGAAGGCCGAACAATTCATTTTGCTCGGGGTAAGACAAGCTTCGCTAGAATCGATTGGCTCTCCGCTCAGCTCAATGACTTCCCCGGTGATTTTTTTCATCCTGCTTGTTGCGATATCCAGTATCGCGTCTACAAGGGGTATTCCAGCAACCAGAACCCCGTCACTTGACTCTGATTCTTCCGATTCCTTTGACGTGAGTTCAGACTTTGGTACCCCAGCTACAGCGAAGAGTACCGTTGTATCAACGTATCGGAACTGGGTGGGCCCGTGGACTATGTCGAAAGACACTGCGTGCTATCGAGAGGCTCACTTTATGGACGTGTGCCCAAGCAACTACGACCGGAATGAGGTCACAAATACGTGCTGGACAGAATGTCCCATGGACTACCCTGTTGAATGCGGCATGGAGTGTATCCGGCAAAATGATGACTGCGGAATCGAGGTGGCCAGCAAAGTATCTGCCATGGCCATTACCGTCATCAGAAGCGCGACGTTTGGTGTGTTTGGCGCGTTGGAGATGATTGGTCAGAAGGTTTGGTGGGCTGCCAGATGCACTAATTCGATGCTACTGGTTATGCGAGGCATTTTTCGATACATTCGCACCATGAAAGCCGAAGACCCGCAAGCGACCGACCGCAAGCTGCTCGTTTTGCTGTTTCAGACGAGCACTGTGGTGACGGATTTACCTATCGCAATTACCGTTTGCATGAGGAGACCCGTGTCCCCGAATCTCCGTCATTCCCAATTCGTGCTGTCCACGTCCCAGTGGGTACTAATGCAAGCTCTGGCTAATGACGATAGTATCATTACAAGTTGGCGGAAATTCCGCGCCTTTCTTAAAGGTGCCAACTTCACTGAAGCCGCCGAAGAGATCACTGAGGGTGAAATTGAGTCGCTCGAGACGGCCATGAAGCAAAACACGAGCTGTGCCGGAGATCTCAAGTCCCTAATGGACCGAGCATGGTTTACCATGAGCGAATATAAAGAAGATAACCCAGCTATCACGGACGATGATATTCGACTTAAAATGAGTGAATCCGACCTCGTGCTCTACGACGTACCCATCGTGACAAACAACTGTATGCATCAGATGATCGCCGAGTCGAGTCTGTCGACAGCTTACAAGACTCGAGAGGTCTTACGCAAGACGTTCGCAGTTATCTTAAACGACCTCATTAAAGCAGGGAAAAGTGACAATGGGACGTCCTACGATGAGAAGAAAAAAACGTATAGAGTAGTGGACCTTGCATTCGCTGGCGCCGCTGCAACGTTGCTCGACCCAACTCGTATCACGCTGTTCTTCTCCGAGTATATTCAGACAATTTGTGGACCCACTCAGTTTATGGGAGAGATCGACGACGGTACAGAGCCTGCAACGTTGGGCTTGAACATACTTCAAGATGCGTTCAGAGGGAGTACCAGCTCTTGGACTAAGAAGGGAGACGGGGCAGTCATCATCAACTTCAAGAGTTCAGACACGAAAGACGTGACCGTAAACATTATGTCTGGAGGGGACAGATTCGATGAAGTCGACGTCAAAGCAGGAGGAACTGCCCAATGGAACTCAACGGTTAAAGCGCTTGGTGGTAAAACGCTTTACCTTGGCCGCTGGCGTCCAGGGTTTCTCGGTCTACCGAGCACGGGAGGTGGGTCACTTGTCCTGTGGGTGCCCAGATCTTCTCAAGGAGGACATTTAGAAATTGAAGCGAAACTTAACGTGAGCTAGACCTGTGTAATGACTGAAATACCAATAAAATCTAGAAATAATAACTAGCTGCTCTTTCTACTGCTTCAAGGCTGGGGTTAGGCCTCCGAGAAAATAATATCAATACCGCAATTACTACCTATTTGTTATTATATTACGGATTATTGTTTTTTCGCGATAATAATATAGTGTGATACGGACGGAATAATACAAATATAAAGGCTTACCGTTCGAGTGGCTTGCAGCCACCCATTCCTCTCCACCAGCCATTTTTCAGCGCCTAATTCACTTTCAAATTTTGAGAAGGCAGTCATTCTTGATTTACATCATGTCGTCCCAGCAACTCGCCGCTTTCTTCTACAACGTTCTCGAGCCTGGGCTCTACCGGTGCAACATCTGCGAACAGTCACGCAAGCAAGCCCAGCGCACAGGCTACACAAACCTGATATCTCACCTGAACTCGAAGCATCCCACTCACGGCGAAGAGTATGCTGAGTTTCAGCGCCGAAACCTGACCTCCCTCGGGGTTTTTGGATTCGTGGACGAAACGACGACTCACATGTACGACTGGTTACGCTGGATTGTCGAGCGGAATCTCCCTCTGTGCGAGGTTGAGAGCCCACTAACGAGACAGTTAGTTCGCATGAAGCCTACCTCAGCGGAGACGCTGAAGACCTACATGCAACGAGTCGCTGAACGTGTCGGCAACACCATCGCCGAGGAGATGGGCGAGTGTTTCGGTGTTATGTTTGATGGATGGAGCTCTGGGACGCGTCACTTTGTTGCGGCGTTTGTCGTGTACCACGGTAGTGATGGTCTATGCGAACGACTAGTTGGACTAGCTCCAATGAAGGACGGACAATCGGCAGACGCTCACATCAAGTTTATCGACACTATCCTGGATGTGTACGGCAAGACGTTGGCGATGGTCAAGTTTGTCGTGGCTGACAACTGCGCCACGAACAAGAGCGTGGCAACGAAGCTTGATGTACCCCTTATTGGGTGCGCCAGTCACAGATTCAACTTGGCGATGGTTCGCTTTTTGTCCAATCACGATCATCTAATTAGTATGATTCAACGCCTGATGACAAGCCTCCGCCAACCAAACAACGCCGCTCAGTTAGCGCTTCACACAGCGCTACTGCCTGGGAAAGCGAATGCGACTCGCTGGTAATCGGTGTGGAAAATGGTACACAAGTATGTGTGCATTCGCAACGCTGCGAAGCACGTTGCCGAGGTCGAAGAGCTGCTCCCCCGTCTGTGTGAGCATCGCCGGATTCGAGTGCTGCACGACAAGCTGAAGGAGCTCCAGAGCGTCAGCGAGAAGCTGCAGCATCACAGCCGAACGCTTGGTGAGGTCCGTGCTCTTTTTGACGCTTGCATGGCAATGTACCCTGTCAGGGAAGAGTATCTGAAGCCTACATCCGAGATTGTTCATTCACCGGTCTTTGAAGCAGCGGTCATCGAGGTCACGAGTGCTCTTCCTGTTTCCAGTGCAGAAGCCAAGGCGATCGAGGCGTTTCGGCGCCCAGAAAGTCCTGGACAGAGTGAAGATGAACCAGCCGCTGACTTTGCGAGTGAGATTCTGCGCCGTGCCAAGAAGCCACGTTACTCCCGGAGGCGTGCTGTCGACTACATTTCACTTCTCAGTGTCATCCCACCAACGAGTAACCGGTGTGAGCGGCTCTTCTTGGAGTGTAAGTACGTGCTTGAGCCGCACCGTGCCTCCATGCGCTCAGCTAACTTCGAGAGATTGATGTTTCTTAAAGCTAATCGAGATCTCTGGAACGCGTCGACGCTAGTGCCGTGATAGCTCTTGCTCGCAAAATATACTGAATATTGCGGCATTGCGGATTATTGTTTGTCTTGATACGCCACTATGTATTGCTGATGCCACAGCTGCCTGCGTATACTGCCTATTGTATTTTAGGAGGCCTGGACTGGGGGAGATTCTATCGATGTTACATATTCTTCCAAATCTGTTTGTCTTGATAAAATCCTTCTCCTGGAAATGTATTAATACAGCGTTAAGACTAGAACTGGGTTGATTGGTCCATATCATATGATTGGAAAAAAGTTTTGGGATTTCCATGTGGCATCGAAATTAGGCCCGTTCTCAACCGAAGCGTTTTTCTTGACGCATGCGTTGCACGCGTACCCTATCCCGTGTGCTCGGTCGAGAATGAAACTGAACGACATTGATTGGTGCAACAAAAACAAATATTGGCCAGTAAAATACGTTGTTTATGCTGTAGATCCGCTTTTCCCCCTTCCAACAAAACAATGGAAGCTGATAAGGACCCGAATCGAGAATGTAACGGAATACGTAGCCCTAAGTGTGCCCTGGCTACATGAAGTGTGACACTTCACACTTCAGGTGTATGACACGTCATACTCCGGGATATTAGGTACAAGGTACCAATGTCGTTCAAAGCCAACCATTGGTCAAACAACATTGCATTTCTATAGGTAACTTATAGTTTGTATTAAACCCAATCTTAACCTACCTTCATATATACTCAGTTTACAATCTACCTTATTTAGGTCACTTCGCTCTCTTTAAATAAAGAGGGTGCCTGTGAACTACCGTTCACTGAGAGGTTTTATACTCTCGGAAGATAACTTCGTCTAGCGCAAGGTGCTGTGTGACCCCGTCACACTTGGTAGCACTTGTAGTCAATCCACGCCACCGCGGGTAGACTACCTGAACCTTTCTGAAGTTCGTTGCCATGGATAAGATCGACTTCTCCCATATGAACGACTCTCAGTTCGAGTCGGTTCGGGAGATGGCAGGCATCTTCGGGATGGAGGCCCTGCAGAGCCTGGTGGTGTAAACACCGGCTGAGCAGCTCGAGCGCGTCAATGCATTCGACGCGTACAAACATTGCCCCATCGCGCATGTGCGGGAGAACCTGCAGGCTCCGGCGGCGGAAGCAAATCCGCCTCACCCGAAGCCAATACGGCTCAAGGTTAAGCCGTATGAAGAGAAGGAAGGCGAGAACCTGCACTTCTGGGTCCGAGAAGTAGAGCTCGCGATGGACGCGGCTCGGATCTCGATAGAGCAACTGCGTGTTGCCTTTGAATTCTCCAACCTTAGCGGCCGTGCTAAGAGTTGGGTGTACACTCGGGAAGCAACATCCCCTGGATGTTTCACATCCTGGGCTCAGCTGTGCGAACAGCTCCGAGCCGCGTTCCTCCCGGCGAACTACGAGTACCGCCAGCGTTCGCGCTTCCTCGCGTGTAAACAAGGAAGGCGCGAACTGCACGAGTATGTGCAAGAGATACGAGAGCTCACGGCGCCCCTAGTGGGAAACTTACTCAATGAACACATCAAGATGTCTGTGTTCATGGACGGCCTTCGAGTGGGCCCCGCACGCACTCAGCAGTTCCGGTTGCAGTCAAACACCCTTGAAGAGGCGATTCAAGTTGCTCTTCAAGAAGAGTACAGCCATCGCCAGGCGCGTACGCCGGCCTCAGCATGGCCTGGGAGTTCCTTGTCGGCTCCCGGTCGAACAAGCCACAACGGGACCAATTCCCATGGAACTTGGGTCCGCCGAACAGCGTGACATCCGCTGCTTCGGCTGCGGGAAGATGGGTCACTTCAAGCGCGACTGTCCCGCGGAAAGACTCCGCAGACGGTCGTTTCCCAAGCCCGTCCTCAAGGGTAGCTGGCAGAAGCCAGGATCCCGGGGACAGGGGAACGCCGGGAAACAGTAGGGGCGGGGCGCCCTACTGAGGAAGAACTGAGTCTTCGTGATGGGTGCGCGGGTGGCGCGTACCACGGGGGCTTAGCCCCTGAGAGTCTTCGCACTCTCGAATCGGCGAAGAGCAGCGACGGGTTGCTCGTAGTACACGGATGTGTACGGGGATACGAGCATCCCTTTATAATCTTGATCGATTCTGGGGCATCGAAGAATTTCGCACGCCGCCAGACGGTTGCTCGCAACAACAACAAGTTATCCGATGCTTTGAGAGAAAGCAAGGGCAACGGGACGGTGTCAGTGCGACTGGCCGACGGGAAGGTCGTCGCTGTCCCCAACGTCCCTTTGGATCTGGCCGTCAAGGTTGACAGCCTCGAACAGCTCACTGTTCTCGATATGGATTCATATGATATGATCCTGGGCATGCCCTGGCTTGAGAAGCACGAGCCCTGGATCGACTGGCGAGGCAAGGCAATCGGTGCCAGCCGCCCTGCGCAGTCCGACAGAGCTTTAATGAGTCATGTTCCCACCTCTGTCAGGCCCCGAGGCGCCTTTAAGGACTTCCAGGGTACCAAAGCATCCGGCAGATACTTGGGAGTCGTCGACGTATATGACGACTCCGAGGATGTTTGGATTGTGGCCGCGCCTAGAGGGGGCGCTGGCCAAGTGGGTAACTTAGGTCCACAGGCGGGTAGCTTAGTTCCGCAGACAGCTGCAGCTGTCACGAATACTGAGAACAGCGTGTTCCGAGTGGGTAACACAGTTCCACTCACGGTCGCCCAGACCTTAACTGAAGCGGAAGGCGTTGAACACGCTTCCTGTGTGTGTAACACAGTGTCACTCGCGGTCGCCCAGACCTTAACTGAAGATGAAGGCGTCGAACACGCTTCCTGTGTGGGTACCACGGTACCACACGAGGCCACGAGTGCCTCGGCGCCGACATCCCTAGACGTGGGCAGCAAACCTCGACGTCACGGTCGCCGTCGTCAATGACGCCGCCGCCGCCTCAAGTCGGATCCGAACTTCGTTCCGATCGACGTCGCTTCAAGCGACTCGGAGTCCAGGGCCCGGGCTCCTCCGACAAGGCCGGTGGAAGAGTGCTGTCACATCTTCGATGGCGAGACCGGTTTACCCGTCAAGGCATCTGGTGTTCACTTGGAGCCGTTGCCAGAGGTTGCAGATATACTGAACCTCGAGGAAATGACGGCTGAGGCTTTCCTGACCAACCTCAAGGCTGGAGAGATTGCTGAGATGGTACTCATGAGACCAGAGACCACTCGAGAGAAGCTGAGCTCCTCCTCTGTCTTGGACGAGAGCGTC